ACAGGTCATCAGTATTCTTGAGGATCTTCTGAAGTTTGCGTTTCCTCGAGTTTCGCATGTTCTGCGATTTGTTGTTCAATTAGCATCAATTCTCAACGAGGGCGCTGCTCGCAATGGGTCAGCCTCGTCTTTTGCTGCCTCAAAATAAAAGTGCTGGAGATTCAGAGGGTACACTGTGGCGCTTGAAAAATCCCTGAGAGAGATACGTCTTGATGCCATGCATCTGCAGATCCGATGTGACCTGGCGGTGTTCTGCACAAAGACTGGTTTGTTTACTGTATTTCTCTCTGTTTATTTTCTTTCATGTTCTTTCTCTGTTTCTCTGCTTCTTGTTCTCTGAAAGAAAGGAGGCAAGTATAAGTCAGTACAAGCATGGACTCATGGCTTACATCCCGAGGTTGCTGCGTGGCCCGAAGCGGAGTAAGGACGACTGTAATCTTTGGCCAAACCTGGGCTCAGCATGGCTCAACAAAAAGGTCAGAGAGGTAGAATCCCTGAACCCGAATGCATTTCTATACATACCCATGAATGAGGAGACTGAGCCTTCTACACATCACACTCCACAATCTAATCTTCACACTTCACACTCAACACTCTACACTTCACGCTCTATTCTCTACACTCTATATACACTCTGCACTATGCACTCCACACTCTACACTATATACACACTACGCGCAATACAAACCGCATTTGCACCTTACAGCCTACACATCTGCACTGCACTCTACACTTTAAACTCCACACTCTACGCTCTACACTCTAGGATCCACACCCTGCACTCCCCACCCTACACTCTCTACACTCCATACGCCCTCCATACTCACTCCGTACACAAAAGCATCTTCGCAACCCTCGAAAATTAAACGTGTTGCAGCTTCCGCTATAGGCATGGAATGTAGGACGCGGTTAGCAACCTGCGACAAGTTCACGCCTGGGTCTCACCAAGTGCCACGCCTGCCACGCAAAATGACAGTGCACACCTTCAAAATGCCACGTTTTGCCGTATTCGCTATGGGCACAGGGAGACGGGATTAACGATCAAGGGACGCCCCGCGATAACAATCACTGCAAACAAGGCTCCACCCCTAGACCCCCTCCCAAGAAAACAAGAACCCTTCGCTACGCATTCAGGATCAAAGAGCAAAAATATGCGAAGGTTGTGCGCCTAAGAGACCATTTACAGAGCGCCAGGCTGTAATGTCTTCATTGTGTCAGCTTGAGCTGCTGGAGCAGGATCGAGCCTCGCTTGCAAATCTGATTCATAGTATCGGTCTCAAGAACCTGTGTATACTTTTCTGCATGCAGATCGTGAATCCTAGGGGAATGACATCAGGAGCATCGTTGGGCTAAAGTCCTCCTGGCAAAGGCTCCAGTTCTAAGAAGTGACTTAGCCACAGAGCTGGCTTCAAGCACTTTTCTTAGCCGCTCAAGTCGGGCACTGCCAGTCGCTGCATGTGAGCCTCATGTCGCTCCTGAAAGTCTCCCAGCAAATGCCACAGGTGGGTCTGAGAGCTGCGACAAGTCCTGAAAGTCTTGGTGACATGGTGCTCAGCATATCCAGTGCTAATACACTGCGGGTTGATACTGTGATACGATAGAAAATGTATGCGAAACGAAGACATGTTATTAACTGCTAAAGCGATTCAAAGTGTCCAATAGAAGCAAAGCGGAGTGAGGCTGTGGCCAACCCCGATCGGAAGAATCCACATCAACAATCACAATTTGCCCGACCTTAGAGCGTTCTCCTTTAAGACACCACTGCATTGGAGGACTAAGACTCTAAGACTAAGAGATGGATTTGGCCTACAAAGACAAAACACAAAATTGTTTGTTTGATGCTCAAAGTTCCCACAGTCACACAGCACGACACACAGATGTCTCAGACTGCTGGCTTTGAAGGCCTTCAATGCGACAAATGCCCATATCTGTAAACGTCCACGTCATATCGTCTTCTATGAAATCTCAATGGATCCGACGACAGAAGTTGCCTCCAAATGCGAAAGGACATCGCAAAGTGGGACCTTCGCATCATTCATTTTTCAACAATCCTTCTGAATTATGGTAGGAAGTCTCTTGTGGATATAGAGACATGTAGAGATCACATATACTGCAATGTTCTTTGCTGAGAGCCAAGCACTGGGAAGAATCTCTGTGATTGAAGTGAGCGCGATTCACCTCACAAGATGACGCCACCCACGACAGACAGGTGAAAAACAAGGATTCTTGGACGAACCGAAAGCAGGCTTTGCACAATGAGGTTTCGGCGAAGCAGCTTCCTGAAGGAGTTGGTCATCGGCTCCTGTGGGAGGAGTTCGGAGTTCAAGGGTCCATAGGAATCTATCGGAATCTACCGGACCTATCCAAGCATTCCAAGCATCCTATGGAAGCATTTACATACCAAATCCTGCAGAATCTTGTGTGCAACATTCACAAAAAGGGATCGTTTGTCTTCTCCAATGTTCTAAGGAATATGTATACTATGTGTTTATTACATTGTGTAATCATGTATATTATATAATATATATATATATGCCGTATATGTAAATAGCATTTCATTGTTGCACCTCTTTCCGTCCTCCATGTTTGGATGGAACTCGAAAGTCACCTCACACCAGCACATACCGGCACCAAGTTGCCCAATCCCATCTGTCAAGAACGCAGCAAAAATTTTAGGCCGAATGCACCAAAGTCACCAAAGATCAGCAATGTGTGCTGGATCCCCACAAGCCCACGGTGCATGAACATGAGGTTGTCTTTGTTCTCTCGCGCTGTCTCGCGCTTTCAAACCGTAAATTTGCCGTTATCATTCTCGTGCAGTAAAATTGTGTGATTTCCCATTTAAGATTGTATTGTAAGTAAGATATAGGAATATAGTCGCGGATTTGTGATTTGCCTTGCGAAGGTCTCTACTGCATGAAGGCTTTATTCGAACGCAGTCTTTGTGCAAACGCTGCATCTTGAGATCTTGTGAAATGCCTGGCTACCTCCGTGGAGGTTGTATTGTATTAGACATGCAACGAAAATTCACACTGGTGGCGTACAGTCACCTTTGCTTGGGGAATAACGTTACACTATTGTCCCCTGAAAGTAGTGAGAACCCCCTGGAAGCGATTGGTCTATCTATGTTGTAATTACATGTCATTACCATATTTTTTCTGAGGCCAGTGGGCTGTGGACCCTTACAATGGTAAAATTGTTACCTCGTGCAAAGATGTGCAATGTAAATATTGAAAATGAATGAAAATGGTAAAGGTCATACAGTACTCTTATCAGACTCTTACCTTGGGCACGATGAAATGGTAAAGCAAATTCTTTCATTGTGGGGTCCGTAAAATGGAAACAGTAAAATCGAATATCTTGCTTTTAACACTTTTTGCCCTGTATACTGTCGAGTTGCATCGAACTCGTACTTTTACTTGCTTATCACTCTGCAATTTTAAGACCTTGCCAATTTTCTTCTGTTCATCTACATCCAGATTTCACTTCTACAGCTACACCTTTGTCAGCACCTGGTAGGGTGTTTGCAAGATACTGAGTGGTTGGTGACCAGGCAACGCGTGGCGCTGACTAAACATTTGAATGCTCGTCCAAGAAGGTTGACAAGGTAGACAAAATGATACAATTATTGTTTAAGAGAAAATAGAGAAAGGAAGATGCAAAATCCCCAAGAGCTAAGTTCAGAACCACAGGTGCAGGTCCTCCGGAAGGCTGCCTAGCTGCGGGGAATTGATAGTCACTTCAAGCGTGCTTAGCGTGCTGAGCAAATTATGTTCGCAAACGCTGCTCTGATGATGTCATTACACCCTTCACATCTTTGCTTTTCCCTACTCCACACTGAAGATGCTATGTGCGCCTTCGATTCATTGTTGCATCTGCTGCTTAGTGAGAGCAAGACTTTACCAGTCAATAGATCGTCTAGTTTGGTCTAGTTTGATTTCAAGTTCAAGGATGGTGCGCTCAAGGAGAAGATGGCTTGCATTGTCTTTGAAGAACCCAATGTGCGGGGAAACAACCGGTGGGAAAGGATTTCATCTTCAAGTATGTGTGTGTGTGTGAATCGGCTTTAGCTCTGACATTCGGTGCGTCTGGCCCCGTGTTGTCTGTGCGTCTGCGACGTCTGTGTGCTTGTGTCTTTGCATCTTGGCATGTTTGCATCTGTGCATTTTGTCAATGTCGTGCAGGGATGTGCAGGGAAGCAGAGCACAATCATCACAATCAATGAAATGATGAAATGCGCATGTTGCATTTGTCCTTCACAAATGCAGGGCCTGATTGGGCCTGATTGCATGACACTTCAGTGCACCGAGGTATCAGGGTCTCATTACCCTCCTGCCTTCCCGTTTGATTTGAGGGGTTCAAATCCTTAGCAGCACAGTCCTACATAGTCCTACTAGGTCCTACTATGTTTGCTGAAAGCATTCTGATGATTCCTTTCAGGACACTGTCAGTAATGAGCTTGGGAAGCAACAAGCAAATCTCGGTGTTGATCTGCATGAGTTTCAAACATCTGCATCTGTACCTAGAAGATATTTGAGCGGTGTGTGGAACATGACGAAAATGGATGAACCATGTTGTGTAGGGCAAGCTCTTCACTTCAAAGCTGTCTGTCAGTCAAGATCTGCCATGCACCAGCAAACCAATTTCCCTGCAGAACATCACCACTTTTCAAGAAGAATCAAATCAAACTTTTCAAACGATCAAACGTCAAATACACTGAATTGGCTCAGTTGGCTCAGTCCATTTTCACAAAGCCCCATGGCCTGTGCAACGGGAGCCTGCGGTGCAATCACAACATACCCTCTCTATATCTCACAGATTCTCACAGTGTCTCACGACTAAACTGAGGTTTAAGGTTCGCTGAATGTTCGCTGATTCGGTGTATTTCTTTCATGAGGATTGAAAAACCACTCAACATACTCAACCAGGCAGCTGCTGGAGTATTTATTGACTCACCCAGCGGGATTGAATGGGTTGAGTCGGGCTTAGGTTCTGTGAGTTCAACCGGTGTGCAAAGCTGAAGTGGAACTTAGAATTTTGCGCATGCATTTCTCCTTCCTTGTACCATTCGAGACTTTCGCTGCCAAGCGATCGACAAAGGATGCCTTGTTGTCGTACGAAGCAGTGCCACAGACAAAGACGCCGAACACCTCTGTTGCCTCCGGCCGAATTGAATGGCATTGCAGAACTATCAGAACGCAAAGGTGAAAATGGTGAAGATTCAAAACTGCGTCACAGAAGTATGGGAGTTGGCGCTGGGACAGACTGTTGCATGGTATTCGCATCTTTCAGATTCTTTTAGCACCCTTTGGTAGCTGTTGGTCGTTGTACGTCGGCTTCTTAATTTACTGTAAGATACTGTAAGCTATCAAGTTTTTGATAGTGTGCTTGGATCTGATAAAGGAATATAAAGGAATCAAGACTCTGCTTACTCTGCTTACTCTCAAGACTGAAGCCATCTGAAGCCTCTCCAGCAACGCAGGCGTCAATCTTGGGTTTCAAGACCTGAAAGATCCGCAAGTCCTGGACAGACTGGACAGATTCCAAAGCGGAAAGGCACGCGGAGTCGTCATGTCATCAGCCTGTCGGTTCATTAGCCAATTAGCATCAATTAGCCATGGTCAGGTAATGTCAGGTAATGTCAGGTAATGTCAGGGGATACAAATGAAATCAAATGAAATCAAATGAAATCAAGTGAATATAGTAGTACCTTACCTATTGATACCTTGAAGGTACTGTGAATATCTGTGAATCATTGTTCTATTGGAAAAGCTCCTGGGGCATCCTGGGGCCCTGTGCACATTTTTCTATACGTATTTGCTAACAAGCTGCCTCGTGACCAACAATGTGTTCAAAGTCCATGATCCGCGGCGAACAAATGTTGCACCTCCAACACGCCAGTCCAGGTCTGGTTCTTGGGACTTGGAGCTGCAGAAGATTGCAGAAGTCACAAGTTTTGACCATCCTGCACCTCTTCTGAAGAGAATCCGGCATGCATCCTGCAAGCCAACATTTCACAGAACCACAGGTCAAATCGCTAGCGCAGTATATCGCAGTAGTGTTCTGCACATCTCACAGCTGACGTTATCCAAAGCAGGATCACACTTCTCTTAGCAGCGACGCCTGTACTCATCCGTCGTCGGCTTTGAGCCTAGGCAGCGAGCTTGGACATACAGTTGGACATACAAGAATTATTCGAATCATTCAAGAACTCTAGGAGAAATAACTCTGACCATCTACGTATCTCTGGCCATTTGTGTCACATGTCCCTGCGTGTCCCCCAGCACCTTCTCCCCATCTTGGTGAGGCTGAACCTTGGCACAGGGGTGTTTGGATTTGTCCAAAACGACTATACACAGAATGACGTACAACTGACGTATGTACGATTTTACAATGCAAAATCCATCTGAGACAAACACTTGCAATTCTCGTGGGCCGAGAACTTGCATCCAATTTGAGTTCTCCTTGTTTGAAAAAAATTGACAAATATGTGGAAAAATAACAGGGAGGTTGGAGCTTGTGAAGCTGAAGAAGATCTGACTTTGCTGTGTGACTTGTCCTTTTCTGGCTCGCAAAATGATTTGACCTGAACAGCACCATGCGGCCCTCTTCTCCAAGCTCTGTCTGAAGTTTAGAAGTGCGATTTTTCGCAAAGAAGTCTAAGATGTTGAATGAAGTTTTGTGCAGATGTTTTGTAAATTGCTTAAGTTCCCCAAACATGGTGCAGTTCTCAGGTTCCAACGATTGCGATTCTTCGCAGCTTACCCTTTAGCTTACTTGCTGCCTCACAATATTGAACATGCCAAGACACTACCCTCTGGTAATTTAACATAGCTATTGAAAATGGCCATTTATAGTGGATTTTCCAATTAAAAAGGGTGATTTTCCATAGCTACGTTAAATTGCCAGAGGGTATAGGACACAACAGGATACTTAATGAGGGAACAAAATGCGAGTGTTCCCCCGCCCAGATGTTCCTCCCGGCAACGTGACATCTCTTCTTCCGCATGGTTTGCCTCAGTGTGCATGACTGAGAAAAAGGTGCGACAACGGTGTTGCATCAAATGATGTGAAAGCCAATCTGCGTTTCTGTCACCTAAAAGAGTTTGGCATGTATTTACCTACCATAGAAGCAACTTTCTTGGCTCCATGCAAGTGCTCGGGCCAATTGAACGGCCTTCAGAGCCTTGAATTGTCTCACTGTCAGGGAATGATTTGCACCGTCCTCCTCCTTCTCCTCCTCCTCATCATCCCGCATCAAGAAGAAGATGTGCTGAGAGTTGGTGGAAAAGTTTGAATCAAACATTTATATAATATACAGTGTACATATATAATAAATATATAAACCTGAGAAGGAGGGAACGAAAGCCAACATCCCATGTATCCCTATGTTCCCCAATATTTGTCACCCAGAGACTCTTCACCCAGAAACCCTTCTTGCACATACTTTTCACCCAGAGACTCTTCACCCAGAAACTCTTATTGCACAGACTTTTCACCCAGAAACTCTTCTTGCACATACTTTTCACCCGTATACTTTTCACCCAGAGACTCTTCACCCAGAAACTCTTCTTGCACATACTTTTCACCCATATACTTTCACCCCGAGACTCTTCACCCAGAAACCCTTCTTGCGCATACTTTTCACCCATATACTCTTCACCCAGAACCTATTCTTGCACATACTTTTCACCCGTATACTTTTTACCCAGAGACTCTTCACCCAGAAACTCTTCTTGCACATACTGTTCACCCATATACTTTTAACCGAGACTCTTCACCCAAAAACTCTTATTACACATACTTTTCACCCGTATACTTTGCACCCACAGACTCTTCCCCCAGAAACCATTCTTGCACCTATATACTTTTCACCCAGAAAATCTTCTTGCACATACTTTTCACCCATATACTTTTCACCCAGAGACTCTTCACCCAGAGACTCTTCACCCAGAAACTCTTCTTGCATAGATTTTTCACCCAGAGACTCTTTACCCAGAAACTCTTCTTGCACATACGTTTCACCCATATACTTTTCACCCAGAGACTCTTCACCCAGAAACTCTTCTTGCACATACTTTTCTCCCAGAAACTCTTCTTGCACATGCTTTTATATTTTTCACCCAGAGACTCTTCACCCAGAAACTCTTCTTGCACATACTGTTCACCCATATACTTTTTACCCAGAGACTCTTTACCCAGAAACTCTTCTTGCACATACTTTTCACCCATATACTTTTCACCAAGAGACTCTTCACCCAGAAACTCTTATTACACATACTTTTCACCCAGATACTTTTCACCGAGAGACTCTTCACCCAGAAACTCTTCTTGCACAGGCTTTTCACCCATATACTTTTCACCCAGAGACTCTTCACCCAGAAACTCTTCCTGCACATACTTTTCACCCATATACTTTTCACCCAGAGACTCTTCACCCAGAAACTCTTCTTGCACATACTTTGCACCCATATACTTTTCACCCAGGGACTCTTCACCCAGAAACTCTTCTTGCACAGACTTTTGACCCAGAAACTCTTCTTGCACATGCTTTTGACCCATATACTTTTTACCCAGAAACCTCTTCTTGCAAATACTTTTCACCCACATACTTTTCACCCATAGACTCTTCACCAAGAAACTCTTTTTGCACATACCTTTCACCCATATACTTTTCACCCAGAGACTCTTCACCCAGAAACTCTTCTTGCACATACTGTTCACCCATATACTTGTCACCCAGAGACTCTTCACCCAGAAACTCTTATTGCACAGACTTTTCACCCAGAAACTCTTCTTGCACATACTTTTCACCCATATACTTTTCACCCAGAGACTCTTCACCCAGAAATTCTTCTTATAAATACTTTTCGCCCACATATTTTCACTCATAGACTCTTCACCCAGAAACTCTTCGTGCACATACTTTTCACTCATATACTTTTCACCCAGAGACTCTTCATCCAGAAACACTTCTTGCACATACTTTTACTTTTCACCCAGAGACTCTTCACCCAGAAACTCTTCTTGCACAGACATTTCACCCATATACTCTTCACCCAGAGACTCTTCACCCGGAAACTCTTCTTGCACAGACATTTCACCCAGATACATTTCACCCAGAGACTCTTCTTGCACATACTTTTCAACCATATACTTTTCACCCATAGACTCTTCACCAAGAAACTCTTCTTGCACAGACATTTCACCCATATACTCTTCACCCAGAGACTCTTCACCCGGAAACTCTTCTTGCACAGACATTTCACCCAGATACTTTTCACCCAGAGACTCTTCTTGCACATACTTTTCAACCATATACTTTTCACCCAGAGACTCTTCACCCAGAAACTCTTCTTGCACATACTTTTCACCCATAAACTTTTCACCCACAGACTCTTCACCCAGAAACTCTTCTGGCACATACTTTTCACCCATATACTTTTCACCCAGTGGCTCTTCACCCAGAAACTCTTCTTGCACATACTTTTCACCCTTTTCATCCAGAGACTCTTCACCCAGAAACTCTTCTTGCACAAACATTTCACCCATATACTCTTCACCCAGAGACTCTTCACCCAGAAACTCTTCTTGCACAGACATTTCACCCAGAGACTCTTCACCCAGAACCTCTTCTTGCACATACTTTTCACCCATATACTTTTCACCCATATACTTTTTACCTAGAGACTCTTCACCCAGAAACTCTTCTTGCACATACTTTTCACCCATATACTTTTCACCCAGAGACTCTTCACCCAGAAACTCTTATTACACATACTTTTCACCCATATACTTTTCACCCCGAGACTCTTCAACCAGAAACTCTTCTTGCACATATTCACCCCGCTTCGCGTGGGGTGGCCGCCCACACCGCAGGTTTATTTCGGTCCGTGAGAGGGGCTAAGGGTGGTGTGGAATATGAGGAGCAGATTCACTTTTCCCCCCCGTGGAGGCTTCCCAAGCTAGGGAATTTTCGCTTTTCCCCCCCGTGGGGGCTTCCCAAGCGACAGAATTTTCACTTTTCCCCCGTGAAGCTTCCCAAGCTAAGAATTTTCACTTCCCCCCCCCCCCGTGGGGTTTCCCAAGCTAGGGAATTTTCACTTTTCCCCCCCGTGGGGGCTTCCCAAGCTAGGGAATTGGGGGCTTCCCAAGCGACGGAATTTTCACTTTTCCCCCGTGAAGCTTCCCAAGCTAAGAATTTTCACTTTGCCCCCCCGTGGGGGCTCCCCAAGCTAGGGAATTTTTATTTCCCCCCCCTGTGGGGGCTTCCCAAGTGTCGCCATAAAACCGGTCGAAAACGACAATGCTTCCAATTCCCTTATCTCCCCAACCGTTGAAAATACAGCTATTTACAGTGTTTTCTTCAATTTTTCCATGTTCCAATGCCGGTAGCCAACTCCAACATATATATATAAGAAATCCTTCCAAGACATTGTTTTTGACAGTGTTTTTCCAATGTTTCCAGTCAAACAGACGGTAATTTACACGTTTTTTGCCATAAAGGCAGTAAATCCTGCCAAAACATCGCTTTTGACAGTGTTTTTGTAATGTTTCCAGTCAAGCATACGGTAATTTACACGTTTTTTGCTATAACATCAGTCCAAAACACTTGTTTTTGCATTGTTTTCAATGCTCTGGCATCCAAAAACCCTGCAAAATCTTGCTATGTACAATGTTTTTTTCATTTTTGGCCGTTTTTCCATTGCCGGAAAGCTACCAAAATGACCAAAAATTCCATTTCAATACCCTCTTGCGCTCAGACACCCAAAAATCCTCGAAAAATGTCGAAAACACCACCGAATTCTGGTCTCGGTGCGAAACCGTTTTTGGCCCCCCCCCCAGCTAAAGCTGATATAGCGACTGCTATATTAACAAATGTGATTGAACATTTAGTGTAGCTGTTTCCCCCCAATAAGCACGCCTTCACCGCCAAAGCGGTGTGGGCGGATTTTTCATACATATACTTTTAACCCAGAGACTCTTCACCCAGAAACTCTTCTTGCACATACTTTTCACCCATATACTTTTCACTCATATACGTTTCACCCAGAGACTCTTCACCCAGAAACTCTTCTTGCACAAACTTTTCACCCAGAAACTCTTCACCCAGAAACTCTTCTTGCACATACTGTTCACCCATATACTTTTCACCCAGACTCTTCACCCAGAAACTCTTCTTGCACATACTTTTCACCCAGAAACTCTTTTTTCCCATACTTTTCACCCATATACTTTTCACCCAGAAACTCTTCACCCAGAAACTCTTCTTGCACATACTTTTCACACAAATAGTTTTTACTCAGAGACTCTTCACTCAGAAACTCTTCTTGCACATACTTTTCACTCGTATACTTTTCACCCAGAGACCCTTCACCCAGAAACTCTTCTTGCACATACTTTTCACCCATATACTTTTCACCCAGAGACTCTTCAGCCAGAAACTCTTCTTGCACGGACTTTTCACCCAGAGACTCTTCACCCAGAAACTCTTCTTGCACATACTTTTCACCCATATACTTTTCACCCAGAGACTCTTCACCGAGAAACTCTTCGTGCACATACTTTTTACCAATATACTTTTCACCCAGAGACTCTTCACCCAGAAACTCTTCTTGCACATACTTTTCACCCATATACTTTTCACCCAGAGACTCTTCACCCAGAAACTCTTATTACACATACTTTTCACCCAGATACTTTTCACCCCGAGACTCTTCAACCAGAAACTCTTCTTGCACAGACTTTTCATCCATATACTTTTCACCCAGAGACTCTTCACCCAGAAACTCTTCTTGCACATACTTTTCACCCAATTTCCTTCTCTCTCCAATCTTCTCTAACTAGCTGGCCCATCTATCTGTCCATTGTCCATTGACTGAGCCCACAATACCCCAGAAAACCGGACCTAGGGGGAATCGATACCCACCGTCACTGTTTTGCCGCCTGGTACATTACCCTGCAAAACCATACTAGCGGCCGCCGGTTTTTACCACCTATTTTCCCGATTGATGACCCGTTTGGCAACTACCCCCCCCCAGACCCCCTATTCTCACTTCGTTCGCAAATAGCAACTAGCCAGCTTCCCGGCTGGCTTTCGTAAAAAACAATGTGAGTGGCCTGCAGGGCCTGCGTGGTGCCCATCCGGGTGAACTTGGAGTTGGTGCCAACGTCCCGCTCCAGCCTGCAAGAGGGCACTGAGGTCATTTCAAACACAACTCAAAACAAATCCTGCCCCCGATGTCTTGCGGTGCGGGCTACACATAGCCACCACAGATCGGGCCTCACCCACGTTCTTGAAGGAAACCTGAAGGACAGTTTGGCTGCAGTGCTGCGAAGCAGATTTGGGAAGAATTACGTTTAAATAGCAGGTCCCGTGACCCATTCACCGCAAGGGTTATCGTAGTCCCATCCCATCCTTTGTTTGCAACTGTTTGCACCCCACCTTGCTCTCCATCAAAGCCACATCGCATGTACGGTTCAACTCGGGCCTCATGCAATCGATGAAACATCTGCTTCTGCGGTGCGAACTTTCGAGGTGAGCAGTGTCAAGGCTGGGACTCCCTCAGGACCCCTTGCGCCGCTTCCAACGTGATCAAGCCCGTTTCTAGAAAAGCCTTGGCAACAGATTTGCTGCACAGACATGAGGATGACAATGGTGATGCTTATTCAGCCTACTCTTCTTTAAATGAGCCGTCTGTTCCAATCCAGATGCTTGCTTCAACTCAATCGGCTGGGCAAGGGTGAAAATAAAAAGCACTTGGCACAGAGAATCGCTCGCAGCTGCCCAGCAATTTCATGCAGAATCTTCCTGTTTCTTTTGGCATTTTGGAGGTGCCAAGAATGATCTGCAAGGCATTTCGTTATTTTTTCCTCCCGCAGGGCATAAATCAAGTCATTCATTCGGCATTTAATTGCATCACATTGCATCACATAACATTGAATAATTAGAAGGGAATGGCATTGAACTGCATGGATTGATGCATGTCTTCGCATCTCCCGGAATCTCAGGCATATTAAATTAATTACATTTAAATATCATATGAAGCTGTAGGTCTCTGCAGTGACTTCTACCGTCTCACCTTGCTTCAAGGCTTCCATGCGAGGCTCCAGCTCCTCCCAAAGCCTTATGGCCAAGGCCTCCACACTGTCAGGTCGCAGGGCTTGGAAGGTGCTCAATACAAAGGGCAATAGCAGGGCAGCACGGCTCAACCATGGACACTGGCATTTGAAACCTAAGCTGCTTGGAGCTGCTTGGCCGAGTTAATTTTGATGTCGATTGGGTAAGGTTAACTCTGCTGACTTTGATCGGGTCGGTGGGGTTTGGTTCGGTCCGTTTGGTTCGGAGTTTGATGATTTTTTTCCAGCTTAGTTTGTCCAGTCTGAAAAGAGGAAAACCATGGAAAACCCAAAAGTGCAAGCCGAAAATCGAAAATCAGCCAAGAATCTCAGTGCTGCCAGTCCCAAGCAAACAAAGCAGAAACACTGGAGTGTGTTGACCTGCTGCTGGAGATAGGGCTGCACCATGAGACTCGTGGCTGCCATGGTCAAAGCAATGCCCAAAGAGAACTGCAAGGCATCAGCGCTGTTGACAACCGACACCAGGGCCACTGCTACCAATTTCTGCGCTATCTCCATCCATAGATTTTGGCAAAACCTGTATTTGAGAAGCAACTGCTTTCCACCCAACAGAACTCTGTCACTCTGAATGATGTCTTGAAGGACCACTCGCTCTGTGAGCATCTTTGCAAGAGATTGACACCTCAGGGTCTTGGCATGCTCCTGTGCATCTTCTGGCCCGAGCACCGCTAGCAAGTCGGCATTCAAATCCATATTGGACTGGCTGCCGACCGAGACCGGTTTCACGACCGCAGCCCCATCCGCCAACTGGAAGCCAACTCGGCCGCGCAGGTGTACAGCTGTGTGAGCTGCAGCCGATGCAACCAAGCATCGAGAGAATTCATCCTCCTTAGCTGAACTCTTGACAGTTTCAGACTGGAGAAGTTTTTGCATGTAAACTCTGAGATTGCCCTTGCATGAGGCATATGATACCGTCACCTTGCTCGATCTCAGCATTGTGCGCTGCCTTGCATAGACATAAAGCAAGCAAACTGGGATCACGATGCCGTAACAAACAGCCGCGATGTAGCCCACTGCATCAACCACGGTCTTGACTGGGGAGCTGCTTTCGCACAAAATGTATGGGATTGACTTTCGAAAGACAAACTCTTTGGGTAAAGTCTCTCCAGCTCCATCCAAATCTTGGCAACTCAAAAGATCTGCGCAGCTCGATGCTCCACCAACGTAGAGAAGGGTTAACGCCTGAAGCGCAGCCGCAATACCAGCCCCACGGTTGACGACTTCCAGGATGAGGCAACACACCAGGACTAGCAATGGGAAGACTGGAGCGGCCAAAGCAAATGCCAAGCGCACAGTGGCCCCATCAAATTTGCATTGGAGGTTCACTGCGCCTTTCAAATTGGACACTGAAAGTTGCACAACCTTGACATAAGGCAATTCCCAAAGGATGAAAGATTTCGAGGTGTGGTTTGTTGGTGTGTTGGTGGCATTGGCGACATCCGTGAGTTTGCCACCCTCGAAAGTGTTGGTATAGTCACTTTGGGAGGTGGCTAAAACTGCTAGCACGGACCACAATTGGACCATTTGTAACAACAATGGTGCTTGGGCTTTCAGCTGCATCTTCAAAGCAGTCAGGACCTTCGAACCACCAGAAGTCAGCATCTCAGACTGGGCAGTCGCAGCATTGCTGGGCCGCGTCCAACAAAGGCCCGCGATCAACGCCAACACCAACATCATGACCGCTGCCACAGCAGCCAACACCAGTCCTGAATCCTGCCGAAGGCTCTGAAATGATTGAATCGCTGAGGTTTCCGTGCATTGTTCACAAAGCCCTCCACTAGCATAAAAGCCAGGACCACATTCCATGCAAAGTTGCCCTGCGTAGCCATCATGGCAATGAGAAGCCTTGAGGTTCGAAGCTATGCATCTTGTGTTTGGAGACAAGCACTCGAAGGCACGCGCCCGATTGCCCAGTCGGAGGTACCCTGCCAGCGGTTGCGCTGAGACAGCCTCAGTTCCTGGGGAAGAGCAATTGAGGTGCAGGCGCTCACACTTCATGCAACTGTCTTCGAGCAACACATGCTGGGCTGGGCAGCCACACTTCCAAGTGCCAGTCATGTTGAAGAGATCTCCAAGTTTACATTTGCATTCTTGACGAGTGATGGAACCTTCAGGCGCCTCGCTCCCTGCTGGACACTTCTGGCACTCGCCATCATAGTCCTCCTTGAAGGAATTTGCAGGACATGCGCGGCAGCTGATGCCCAGTCCTGTCCAGCCAGGAGAGCAACTGCACAGCTCATGGGGCGCAAACTTCTGCGGCGAGATTTGAAGCTGAGGGTTGGCGATGTCAAAGCATGCGTATCCAAGCGTTCGGTCGACCATAGTTCTGTGCCTAGTCTTCTGTACCACTTTCTGAGCTGCAAGTTCTGCAAGGAGCGTGGCTCCTTCTGCATTGGCCAATGTAAGATCCCGAAGGTCGAGGAAAACACTCTCAGCCACTGCCTTCTGCAAAACTCCAGGCGCAAAGCTGATTCCCTCGTTGCCGAACACAGAAAATGTATCGCACCGAGGTGGGATGGCCTCCACTCTGGAGAGACGGTTGGAGGACAGGTCCAAGGACATCAAAGCGTTTGCCAAAGGCCAGGCCGCAATGTCTGGCAAGGTGCCGGTCAGCTTGCACCCCCTGACTTTCAGAGTTGTTAGAGAAGAGCAGAGCTGTAGAGACTCTAGCAAGCCAGCCGTGGAGGTGTTCTCCACGCGTGTTCCACTAAGATCCAAGAAGACCAGACTGCTGCAAAAGTTGATACTATCGAAAAGGCCTGAAAGGATGATGCTCGTATTGGTATCAGCCACATTCAGAGATTTAAACCATGTGGGGAAGAAATTGCCAGGCTTCCAGGAGTACTCTAAATAATCGCAATTGAGTTGGCCAGTGACTCGGGTTTTGGAGACATCCACATCAAAAAGGGACGGAAGCATTCTGAGTAGATCAATGTCTCCTGTAACTTCTGTGCCAAACAAATCTAATCTTTCAAGATCTTTGGCATTCTTCAAGGTTTGTAAGTCTCCGCTAACTTTGGTGCCTTTCAAAATCAGGACTTGCAATTTCTCCAGTTGCTGAATCTTGTTGCCCAAGCGTCCACTGAGATCACTGCGACCACCGAGGTTGATCTCAACAAGGTCACAATCGTTCCTTTGACTGAACTTGAGAATTTTAGTGGCATGCAAGTCCAAGTTCTTCAGCTCGGGATCTTTGAGCCCCAGCTCTCCAAGGGCGGCTCGTACGTCGAAGTCCTCCAAACACGCGCCTTTGATCTTCGTTCCTCCGACAAAGAACCTTTCCAGGCGTGGAGGGTGGCGCAAGCTTTCCAGCTCTCCGGACGTATTGGTGTGGGATAGGTCGAAAAACTCCAAGTTCCTCAAAACTCCAAAAGCATTCAGGTTGCCATGCACTCTCGTCCTATCAAGCCAAAGGTCCTGCAACCTGGTGCAGTTTTGCAAACCCAGCAAATCTCCACCAACCTTGGTCCGTCCAAGGCTGAGCAGTTCCAAGCTAGTGCAATTTTGCAAACTGGTCAAATTTCCTTCGATCTGGGACCCATAAAGCCGAAGCTCTCGCAAAAAGTTGCAGTTTCGCAAGCTCAGCAGATCTCCTTCAACCTTCTTGGTGTCTGCAATCTCCAGGATTTCCAAGCTAGTGCAATTTTGCAGGCTGATCAAACTTCCTTCGATCCCGGAGAGGCGAAGTTCTTTCAACTTCCTGCAGTTGCGCAAGCTGTGGAGATTTCCTCGGATTGGGGGGACTTCCAACTTGAGGACCTCCAGATCAGGGAGCCCCAAGAAACTGTCAGACAATGCTCCCAAAGGATCATCCCGTTCGTCCAGTCGGATCTCAGTCACACTGCAACCACTCCAAGTAACACAACCCTGATTCAAGTGAACCTGATCCACAAATTCTCCACACTTCAACTCCCGAAAATCAGAAATAGATGTGACCCCAAGGTCCCGGAGAGCAGCTAGCAATGCCTCCTCTTGCTGACAGCCAGCCCCCGGAAGCTGAGCAGCTCCTGAAGCTGTTGCGGCCGAAGGTGTGATTTCTGAGATCTCACCCAAATCCTCGTCAGCTGCCAGAGATACCCGGAGACGAGATGGCCGCTCTGCCAAAGTCTTCTGACTGAAGACGACGATCAGGCCGTACAGCACAGCTGCCAGCATCAAATGAAATCCATATGAAACAAAGGAGTTCTCGATCAAAGCCTCAAGGTCAAGGGCCAAGCCAGTGACCAAACTGTCCCCATGCGAGGTGAAATGGGATGTTCTGAAGCAAGCATACGGCTGCGCAGGTGAAGCAAGTGCAAAACAACCATGGGCCAAACGCAAACCATGCTTCATGTAAGCCAAGTGCCTGCATTGCCTTCCATCCCGTGATTTTCCAAATGAGTTGCAAGCAGAACAAGCATGTAAAAACTGACTCCTCGGCTTTCCATAGCCTTGGCCGCAACAGGAATCTCATGTTCATACGAGTGAGCAGCACCTATACAAGTCTGGTAAAGACAAGCATCCACTTCGACCCAGAAAACCCCAAGCCTTCACGTCCATGTAAAGATCCATAAAGATCCTCAACTGTACTGGCCTGGAAAGAACGAAGCTG